CAACCATGAATTGCACAGTACGGCAGTGAAGCACCGGTGTTGAACACTGATGTCATGCTGTCAATGATGATGATGACCCACGAGAAGTGACTGCTTATTGCGACCTGTTTCCTGGATAGATTATCTACCGAAATCGTCGTACTTAAATTTCCGCCTTCGCCCCGACTTTGCCTTACAATGGTTGAAAAGGAGCGTCAGATACTCAAACTGATTGTCAATAAATATTTGAGTGTTATGTCTGCCACACTTTCATGAACATTCCTCACAATGCCATTCAGTCTTTCCATTGGACCCCCGCAAACCTAGAGGAAGAGTAATCTGCAACCACGTTAGCGGGCTCGCACACGATTGAAATATTTTCTTTAGTGCTCTTAACGATGCTACCCTACTAGTCGGGACATTGAAAAGCAATCATTTCAGAAGATGAGTTTAACGAGCGACGCCTTTCATCCGATTAGGGTCGTCATTGACCCTGACTTACCCGCACAACTCCGATATCAAACCACAGTGCTCTGTGATGATACTGCCAAATTGGATTGGTGAACTGTTCACAGAGTGTTCCTCATCTCATAGCCCAACATGAAGATCCAAAATAACAATCATACCTCATCTGAGTCTCCAAAGCCAATGTTTCCAGTAGAAGCACTGCCAAAAGTACCGCGTACCAAACGCTCAAAACGAATCAAGGAACCATGTACAGCACATCCTATTTAGGATTAAGCAATGACAACATGGAAATTCGGAAGGTTCAAATCCCGGCACGGCCATTGGATACGCGTTGCTGATGAGTTCCAATAAGAGCGAAACTCGAGTCCAGTGCTTCCCTTTGGTGTGGACTCACCGGAATAATTACGCCAGAACAGGAACTTAACCGTTCAAACAAGAGTGGTTTGTGGACCCTATCTATCTAGCGTCTCGGTCGTGATGCATGCTCGAGCTTAGCATTCAACGGAACAGGTGATGGGGGGTTTCGTAGTGGAGCCGTAATCAAATTTGTCCAGAAACCCTATCTATGGCCGGATGGTATCGTGCGGTGCTCCAAGCTTCCGTCGGAGCGATGTCTCTGCTGGTGACACTCTATCAGACGAGTTGGGTTCAGTGTCACTTGATATGTCAGCAGGGACCTTTGCACAGTGTCCTTTGTCGATTCCTCTTTGAGCATAGGAAGCGCGCGCTTCAGGGTGTCAATGAATTTATTCCGCTTGACCATTAGACTGAATGAAACGGTGGAGAGCGGACGTGGGTTATACCATAATCCTGACAAAACTCCGAATATCGATGCGGTGAGCTAGTTGTCGTTGTTGGACACAATGGTCTCTGGAGTTCTAAAGTACCTTACTAATCGTCCGAGTTCCAGGATTTTAGTGACAACTGTCGGACTGTTCACTAGGAGGGCTTCTGGTTACGATCAGAAAGCGGGGATTACCAATAGGACCCGCACACTGCAAGCAAGATCTGGAGAGCTGCCCAACTTGGGAGTCCATCAGGAGCCAGTAAACGTAACTCCGAACAGTGTCCTTCATCCTGTTTGTTCCTGGGTGCGCTTTGGGAAACAGCTTCGGTATGGCTGACTGCAGTTCCTCTGGAAAAACAACGCGTTCTGAAAGCAAAAGACATCTGTCGGCCAGTGATGGTGGGTCATGAGCCACGAAGTGAGGTCTCGGTTCATCTTGTGGGTATGTATGCGACCCTTGACAGTTGTAGTGCTTGATGACCCGCGGACCTGCTTTCGACATCAAACGGCTCACTTCTGGTTCCAATGGTACTGTCCCGACTACGATATATTCTGTTTCTGGTCTGCTTGAAGCAATGAGAAATGACATTGCTCCGATCTTTCCGAGGTTGTTGGCAGACTAGTACTTCATCTTGAAATCGTATACTGGGAGTGGATAGGCCCATCCCTGGGGGTAACTGGCGATGTACACCGGAATTCCCTCCCAGCCATATACAGCAAGCAGCAGCTGGAGAATCTTACGGGACTACTTGACGGTAAACACGATCACTGAAACCTTTTTTGTCTGACTGTGCTTGAGCTCGACTGGCGCCAGGGCTCTGGCCGCGTACGCGATGACTTCCTGGCTGCTCTCGAAGAATGTATGCGAAATCACCGCGCCAGTGCCATGATTAGAAGCATCCAATGCCACAAAGTCTTCCACCGACGAATGGTAGTGGGTGAGAAACAAGTTGATACTCAGCACGAATATAGCACTCTTCTGTTAGTGTCCGTTTGTGGACCTTAGTGATTATGTGGTTCTTTAGTTCAGCTGTAACATCTTTTCGGTGCCTGGCTGCCATGCACCCTTCCCTCCCCCCTCCCCGAAGGAAGCACGAGAGCTGGGTTACTGCCTTAGGTCTAAGATTAGAGCTGCCTAATCCTAGAAAGAAGGTCAGAAATCCGTGGTAGATGCCGTGGCTGGATCAGATGAAGGAATCGAAGACCAGCTTGTACCGGCTGTTGGGTTGGAGATTCACTCTCTGTTTCAGTGATTCAATGAGCCTCAGCGGTGCTTCTTCAAACTCTTTTTCTTACTGCAGTAATTATCGGAGCCGGTGAAATTCGCTAGACATTATGGGATCCCGTTCGCCAACGAAAGTGGTCGCTATACCTCAGTTCTCGGTCTGATTCCCCAAGCCAACGTTTTCAGCGGCTGAAACGCCAAAAGTACTCAGAGCGTATTAAACCGTGTACATCGGGTCATATTTGAGGTGTGTGGAACGATAACATTAGGAAAATTCAATCGCCTCCTGAACGCGTCATTGGCAACTGACATTCAGCGAATACTGAAACATGGTTGGCTTTTGGGTTCATATTTTCAATCAGTCGAAGCCCACCTTGATGCTGGACTGGTTACTCCCGTGCGAGTTAGACTTTGTGGCCGTTGTGGTGTCCAATTCTGAAGGGCGTATTTATGTTTCACAACCTTCTACTGTTTTTGGTAACAGATCTGCCCATGCAGTGCTGTTTTTCGTTCGCTCTCGATTGCCATCTTCATTTTGCTAAGTCTTGTGTTGATATTCCTTGTGAAAATATTCTATGCGTATGCGTTAACTGTTACATTATTTCCGTCTCTCTGCTCCCCTTCAGCATTACACCCAGTATGATCAACCCTCATGAGCGGTCTCTCAGTTCACCCATTCCACTACCTCCTAACGTTTTCAGCGAAAATCCCATCGAGTCGGATGATATGACTCTACACAGTTCTGGGGCAGCCGTCCTAATGAGTGGACCCGTATACGGGAGACACGGTGTTCCGGTAGCCCGACCCTCTTCACTCCAGGTTAGTTCGTCTGTCATCCAACCCCAGTCGTCTTTAGCAGCAACAGATAGCGCGATTTAATGATAGCATTTGACATGGCCTCAATGTCACGTATCCCATGGCGTTTCCTCGTGTATGTGACTTGTTTGCTTTCGCTCACAGAATCATATAGAAGATAAATCTGCTTGCTCCTCTGATTTTCGTTCATTCCACGGGAAGTCTCAATCAGTAAATTCCTTTATGGGCGCCCTGAATGGTCTCTAGACGTTCTCTGGAGACCCATGAATCTATCAGTTATACAGTAAACCTCGGTTATGACTGGCAGGAATTTTTTTCGACCACCCATAGTATATTCTATCAGATTCCCGTTAGACACAGGTTAGACAATTTGCCCCTTAGATTCATCCTTCATGAACTCTCTGGCTTCCATTTCTTGCGCTGATGTATTTTCCGTTAAAACCGAATTAATGTGCTCTGTAACCGTGACGGATATGAAAGGTCGGGAAATGCATACTTACGTGTAGGTCGATTCGACCATGCGTGATGGCCCAAGTGGTTAGAGCGCAAATTTACTGACCGGAAGGTCCGTGGTTCGAACCCGACCTCTGCCTCTCGACTTCCCCTGTCTAGGTTTGGGCAACCTGGCAGTATCCCAGCCCTCGTGCTTCCTTCGGGTAGCATGGTAGCTAGGCACCGAAAGGGTGCTACAGCTGCCGTTCACCAAGTGGGTGGTTTTAAAAAGTTATACCTATGGTTTAGGCAATCTAGGCAAGGTTGGTAAACCTCAGCAATAACTAATTGATGGAACAAACGATTGTGCCTCCTGCATAAGGTTCCGTATTATTCAGAGTAAATATCCCTAGCTTCAACGCATCTGTATTCACTATGGTCTATATATATATATATATATATAGCGGGGATTCTCATCCAGAATTTCCGATTGATGCGAAGCAGTTACCTATCAATATTGAATTCCTGCTATCACATCCCACTCACACATTGAGACTCGATCCGTCCGCGATCCATCGAGAATTATCTACGGGCACGAATCTGCAGTATATGCTCTTTCATCGACTGGATTTGATCATGCTAGGCTGCCACCTTGTTGAACAATCTCCATTCTTTTTCTTCATCCTCAGGACCCTCCAACAATACACCATACCACCACTTCGTCGGATGTTGCCAGCATCCGAATACCGAATCTGAAAGACTTCATCTTCCTCAAAGTACTCGGTAAAGGTAGTTTCGGAAAGGTCATGCTTGCTGAACAAAAAGGTACCGGTGAGGTGTTTGCTGTCAAGGTTCTCAAAAAGGAGGTTATCCTTCAAGATGAGGATATTGATTGTACCATGACTGAAAGACGTATATTGGTGCTTGCTGCAAGACATCCGTTTTTGACCGCACTATATTGTGCTTTCCAGACCGAGGTGAGTTCTACCTAATATTCCTCTGTCTGAGTTTACTTTTTGCGAGGGTTCACAGCAAAATTAGCTAATGCGCTGAGCCTTATCCTTGCTTGGTTTTGGAGATCACGTACCTTTCGCTCCTTTACGGTTGTTCAGGAAAACGCTCATAGCTGTCAGACTTTTCCAACACTGGTAAACGTGGAATGGACACCTATTAGTTCGTTTTGCAACCATAGCTTGTGTCGCAAGATAGTAGTAATTCCAAGGCCGGCTTTAGTGATAGCTGAAACGGTTCAGCTCTTAGTTACTTGAGTTCGACGAACTCGAATGAAAATGATCCGAATGCTATCTCTTCAGATTTTCAGGTTTTTGTTTCTAAATGGCTCATGCATACACCTGTTATTTGTCCCTGGCAGTTCGGTAGTCCAAAATGACCTTTTGTTTCGTTCCGTGTTTCCGTCTACTTTCTCGTGCTTCTGTGGAGTTTGATTCACCTACTTATTTTGATCATAGTATTATTTTTTGGAAACTATCTGTATGATTGGTCTCCTTTGATACAATCTCATAAAAATGTCACAAAGGCGGTTAGATCGGAAATCATCTGCTCCAGAGTCCCCAGTTGATTAGTCGAGTATTTCATCTTCATTAAACGAAACTTTGTATTCTTTATGAAGACCTTTTTTCTATGTTATTCTAATGGAATTACAAAGACTAACTAGTTCAAGAACGTTTTTTGGTTCCGAGAGTTATGGAGATAGGGAGCCCTTCAAGCGACAACTTATGAGCCCATATGCACGGTGAGATTGCTGGAGCTAGTGACTCGATGAAGTCCGTAGCATACTGGTATTCTTTCACATAATGTGTAGCACATAGACTATCTTGGGGTTCAATTGCAAAGTAACGTCTATGTTGTTTTTCAATAAGTACAGTTGCTGAAAACCCGCCTACATCCCACTACCTGTTTTGCTCTGTCTAGGGCCCATGACTTTGGCGTAATCTCCACTTCCCTTTATTTCACTCCAGCACATTTGAATAAGGTACTTGTATGTGTATATGTATTTTCACACCTAAACGTTCGGAAGTCACAGGTCGGCCGTCTTGTGAAAGTTGAAGTCCGCGCACTTTGGAAAACTGCCTCAACCAAAGTCGTATTCCGGTTATATGGAAGTTGCGTTTTTTTATTTTTGGGAGAAACCACAGGGCCTCAGGAGAAAAACTGTTGCAACGAGGCTACTGACCGTAATGTGGAGGGGTCCGGAAACCTCCGTATGGGTGGTTCATCAGGTGATCCCAGAGCTTGTTATAACCAAGGTAACCTAAACTGCTTACCGTGCTCGGGTTGGTATGAGTTTACATAGGGAAAGCGAATGTATGCATTTTATTTTTGTTAGGAGGATGTTGATGCATTTATTTATGTCCGCTGCTGTCTGCACAGGACCGTCTATTCTTCGTGATGGAATATGTGAATGGCGGGGACTTGATGTTTCAAATTCAACGTGCTCGACGATTTGATGAGGCTCGAGCCAGATTCTATGCTGCCGAGGTTACGTTGGCTCTCATGTTTCTACATCGACACCACATCGTGTATCGAGACCTGAAACTAGATAATATTCTTTTGGATGCCGAGGGTCACTGCAAGCTGGCCGATTTCGGTATGTGCAAAGAGGGAATGACACCTGGAAAAACAACCTCAACATTCTGCGGTACACCGGATTACATTGCACCGGAGGTGAGTTATAAGTCTCATTGGTCACTCATCAACTGCGGTCTCCTGTGCACGAATTTCGCTCTCTTGCTTAGTTTTCTTATTTTGTCTTTATCATTATGATTACTAGTGGATATTTCAATAAACTTTGTGGCTTGATATCTTGCTTATATTTTTTCACTAAAAGGGCAAACTAATCCATATTGAGAGAGATTCTAGATTGCATTCTTCCTTATGAATGAACGTACTGTGACTCGTCTTGTTCCATTGGGGAGTTTTAAAACCACACATTTGTGTTCTCCTTAACACTTCATGATTACATGGACTAACTGACCGCTTTTTATTTTCAGATACTTGCTGAATCAGACTACGGATTCAGTGTAGATTGGTGGGCACTAGGTGTTTTGATGTACGAAATGATGGCTGGAGCGCCTCCTTTCGAAGGTGACACGGAGCAGGATCTGTTCAATGCTATCTCTTACGAGGAAGTCACCTACCCACCTAACTTACATCCAGATGCAGTGGATATTATGTCAAAGGTATGATCAATTTCGCTTGTGTATTGCTGGTCTAGTATCCATATAACTGCTACTGTGTCAAGGGATACTATACGGAGATACTATACAGTAAGGAGACTGGGTATTTAGACTGAACGCCCGGATCGCCAATGTGATTAGCGTCAATGCGAGCCTAAACGACGCACTTCGATTGAATATGATGCGATGTCTTTTCGTCCGGGTTACAGGCCGAGCATCTGACAGCTGAAGACACGGGCATTTTTATTCGGCACAAGAAAGTTCACAGTCAATTTGTCGCTTCGTGGATATGGACGCTTTTCAGGGTGACTCAATATCATTCAGAGGATATCAGTATGTACCAATGTGAAGTTAACATATCCCGAATTTTGATGTGAAACCCGAGGCTCTAAACATCTCTCGGAATAGTTCAGTTTCATGGCGCATCATTCCAAGATTCGTATCCAGATACTGCTGTTCCCGTCGAGACATTGTATGAAAATTACCTGAATGTTTTACATGAGAAGGGTGTATCTAGATGGAATACGGGGTGTTCTGTAGACAATGTGAGACTTAGGCGTTCTTAGTAACAGGATAAATCAGCACCACATATACCGATAATGTCAGGCTGTCTTCCAGCCTAGGGCTTCGCTTGATGTATCCTGTCAGTTGTTAATTAAAGCCTAAATCGATTGTTCCTTTTTATTTCATGAAACCTTCAAACTGTAAAAAGGGTATAATCTAATATTAAAAGTCCTATGATACAATGTCAGAACTCTATTTGGCCGACTCGTTCGAACAAAAGACCTGCGACCCGACCCTGTACTGTGAAACTACCTCAGACTCCCATGGTCTGAACCGGCCAGTAGCATAATCTACTTTCAGCCAAACATGAGTAGAGCCTGCGTAGCCCAACACAGGTAAGATACATCCTGCGCTCTATCGTTTGAGATGATACGCTTTCTGTGTCCGTCCTGGTGAACTGTCCTGCTGGTGCTAGCTAGATGGCATGATGCATAGGACGTGACTTGGCGATTCCGTCTTCACTTCATTCAGCACTTAATTCTACGGGACCTATTGGATGGGGAGTCTAAGTCATTTCAACTTTTCACTATAGATTACATGTTTAGGTCTTTTTAAACTTAAATTCCACCGTTTCACTTCCAGGGTATTTTTTTCCTTTTGTGACCTTCAGGAAATGTAGTCTTTTTATGAGTGATTATTCATTAGTAATCTTACTGTGGACACTCACGCACCATAAATCATACTTGAATGAGGCAGAAAACCACTAATTCATTTCGAATCAGTGTATCCTGTAGCTATTTCCTTGTCCTCGAAATGCAAAAATGGCTAAAATTCATGCTAGGTAAATAAACAAGAGTACGTTATATCTATTCGTTTACTGATCCTTCATTGCCGGACACCCACGATGTTTTTTCACTAAATACGCTGCTAACCTGGTAACCTTGCCTTTCTCCACGTTTGCTTACAGTTTTTACTAAAATCACCTGCACGTCGTCTTGGTTGCGTAGCCGTTGACGGCGGCGAGTTGGCCATCCAATGTCACCCATTCTTTAGAGAAATCGATTGGGAGATTCTTGAAGAACGTCGTATCCGACCGCCGTTCCGTCCGAAGGTTCGTTCTCGTATAGACACGAGTAATTTTGACAAGGTAAGACCATCCGATACCAGTTCACCAGCTTTCTCTTTTTATTTCATTGAAGGGTTTAAACAAGTGGTTTGTCTATGCCTTTTAATGAAATTGCATGCTCTATCTTCCATGCCGTCCTAAAATGCTGGTTAGCATACACCTTTTTGTGTGGAACGGTCAGCTGCAAGGAGACAAGTTGTCTACTGCTGAACAAAGCTTTAAGGGCGAGATGGCTCTGTGGTTAGAGCGCGAATTCACTGATCAGAAGGTCCGTTGTTCGAACCCGACCTCCGCCTCTCGACATCCTCTGTTGCTTCTTTCTGGTTGCACGACTGCTGTAAACCGAAAAGGTGCCTCACAGTCAGTACTCGACCGGGAAATCTTGTCACTCGAATGTCATTTCAACTGTGTGGTTACGTTCAGCCGTCCCTCGCAGTATGAGTTTATGCTAGAACACGGAGCACGGTTGCCGATAAGTCCACACAAGACATCAGAGAAACCTGACAGCTTTTGTTGCTTTGTCGTTGGACGTTTTATGATAAATTCGGAAATTTGACCGTTTGATCAAGTCCTTTCGGGAGTATGTATAATCCTCAGACGGTCGCACTTTCTACTTGAACACATTGTCATATGTGATACAATATCTGCATGTGCTTATGCTCGCAATGACCCCCTGTATTACACTTATATGTCATGGTTACCTTATTCTTTGACTCAAAGGACTTTACAAACGAAGAACCGGTACTTACACCGACTGATCACACCAGTGAACTGACTGCAATCGCAAAAGATGTGTTTGCCGAATTCGACTGTATCAACACTGACTACAGTGTGATGCGTTACCATACAACACGTCCAAGTCAGCAGCAGCCCCTTCGGTCCATGTTTAGTGGCGCGCACCTAACAACATCAGCTGTCGGAACGGAACCTGCAACCAGTCCAGAAGCTCTCAGCGGAGGTCCTACATCTCCTACTCATGGAACTCCCCTGTCTAATTCTCCCTACAAACCCGCATCCCCCACGATTACCACACCAACTGTGACAACCCTTCCGGTCACAACCCCCCGTTCGCAGTTGCCATTCGATTTCCCAGCCGATTCATTGGTAGATAGCACAACGAGACTCGCCATCACGTCCATTTCATCTGCTTCTCAGAATCGAAGTGTACCTTCGTCCCCAGTACATTCGCATCCATCCCTTCCCAGTTTTACGGAACGAAAAGTTGCCTCTAAGTGGTTAGCCGATTAGAACAAAGAAAACTTCAACAGATTTGTTAACTTCCAGTGATGCGCAATCTTCCTCTGTTTTTCGTGTCGAATTGGAACCAACGATGTGCGTTTGTCGCAAATTCTGCGCCATTCTCCGGTCGCTCTAGCGCCTCACCTGTTTCCGATCTATTCATTCCCTACACGGCAGTGTAATTTTACATGGTTCGTCTGCGCTGTCCGTCGGCGTAAAAGCCCAATGCTGAATCGCAGGCGATCATCATTTTTACCCACCCTCCATGGCCACCTGTGATCATAGGTTTGCCCCACCACAATACTCTCCTTTCGAAATTTCGCTGACACATGTTTTATTTGCAATCCTCTCACTTCACTCCTCTTTCTAAATCATGATAGATGTGATGACTAAACAGACCACATTTGCCTTACTAATCCACACACACACACACACACACACTGATTTGTCAGCTTTTCTGTTTCATTCTTTGCCGCTGTTTTAAACTCCTTACAGTTAGGTCATCCCCAGCTCGGTCGTCCTTTGCCGACTTCATCATGTCTTAGTACACGCATTTAGCTTCTTTTTGTTCTGTTTTCTATCTTCTTGGTTTGTGCATTTATTTTTCATATCTATCTAGTCTCCAGTGTGTAAACTGGTCGACCACCACTACTGTGAACATCTTGTGTGGTTGGAAACGGTCCTCACACGTGGCTCGTTACTCGTTCTCTTTTTGTTTAGGAATACTCTTTTATGCTCGGCTCTCTCAATCTAACCCTGCCCGTCTGTTTCTTGCTTGCATAATCTCGTTGACGGGGTTCCTTTGGGTTAGGATAATTAATACTTCATCCGCCAATCTGTACGTATAATTGCTAATATTACTGACTTAATGTTGCTAAGTGGAGATGATCTCTATTTTATTTTTCTCCGTTATTTTGTACAGCACGACCACATTGATCGGCCATTTTCCAGTTTTTCCTTTTCGGCGCACCTGATTCATGTTCATCGATGCCATTTCTAGTCCTTTGTGCCCAAAGCATTTTCGCCTCCCTAATCTTCTTTCTCATTTCATCAAGCAACGGTTTGCATCAATTGTGCTTTCACAAGATTGTCAATCGGCGCTTCGGTAACTGCAGAACCTCTGACTGGCTCATTGTGCACCCTTCTGATTCTTGTTCATTCATATTTAACTGCGGTTTCGTTACCAACTGTGGAATATAATTTTGGGGATTAGCGTTCGTTCGACTGGTCATCGTTGCAAGTTTAATAATATCTGTGACCTATCGCTACTTGTATTGCACCAATAACGCTTGTTATCGGATCTCTATGGGTGCATTTCTACAATCTCATAGTTTCTTTTGATTTCGTAAGTTGATTGAACTTGTGCATATGGCTTCATACCTATCCTTTGGGTCAGTTTTTTACTCTTCACTGAGACTTCTCTTTGTTTGTGTCTGTCTATCCGTTCACATATTGAGGTCCATACAATTCATATAACAGTTGATTCGGTGTTTTTGAAACACCTGCACCAGGTTTTGTTTCCCTGAAGAGTTCTATGAGTTTGGGGGGTGGAACTGTGCTCTACTCCTCTGTCTTAAAGATTCGACAAAACTGGGACACTAGTGACGTTTGTTAATACACGCTAACCCTGCGTCTACTGCTAACTTTTATTACGAGTCAGTTTGGCCAACTTTCTACTCTCTACTGCAAGCGTCCGTAGGGTGGTCCCGAGTACGACCAGTATTAATCATTGGCGGAATTAGGCCTTCGTTAGTTTCTCATTAGAACGGGGAAACCATTTGAGTCATCATTTCCGCATCGTACAGCACTGTTCACCAAGGCGAGTACCGTTGTTGTAAAAAAACGTTCTCCGTGGTGTCATTAGATCCTGCACGTCTCCTGGCATTGGATCAGTTACTATAACATTACATAACATCGGTTAGGAGGACGGAATAAGGAATTTAAAGCAGAATTTGTTGATAGTGTAAAAGAACAACACTCGAACTCTGACATGTTGTTTGTGATTTCCAGCCGCATATACACAAAGCTAGGAAGTCCAGCCAGTCATTTTCATTGTTCATCCATCATCATCATCATCATTGTCAGCTGTAATAACTGCGTACTCGTCGTACAGTGGTTGTAGCTGCCGCAGTTTCGTTCACCGATGATTTATGGGTGGTGGGGGGATGGATAGGTAGCTGCGTATTGCAGGCGGGAGCTGATAAATTGGTGCATAAATCCAGCACTGTCAGTGGGCTGTCAAATAGTGGGGGGTTGGAAAAGAAGCTATGCATTGAAGGCAATAGCTCGGATGCACGAGCGGCATCGAGGGCGCTGCTGGGTCATGTTTGACAATGTCTCTAATCATTGATGTGGCCCTTTTCGTTCGGCCCATCCAGGAAAAGGCAGTGACCAGCGCAGCTGAGTTTGCTGGTAATGGCTCTCACACTTCGCTGCCAAGTCACTGTTTGACCGCCTCTGGCTCTCTTCCATCCTTCGCGTGGTTGGGGCGAGATGGCCCAAGTGGTTAGAGCGCGAATTCACTGACCGGAAGGTCCGTGGTTCGAGCCCGACCTCTGCCACTCGACTTCCCCTGTCTAGGCTTGGGCAACCTGGCAGTATCCCAGCCCTCGTGCTTCCTCCGGGTGGCATGACAGCTAGGCACCGGAAGGGTGTTACAGCTGAACAATTATTATTATTATTGTGGTTGTGCGAAGAGAGCCCTTCGAGGAACTCGGTCGACTGGCATACGAAGCACATGGCCAAGCCAGCGCAACCTGTGCAGTGTGATCAGTTCATCTATCGAGGGTGAGTTATTTCTACCGAATACCATTCGACGTACTTCAGAATTGCTGATCCGGTGTTCCCACCAGATTCGGGCAATGCTCCGAAGACATCGATGGTCAAACACTGAGAGACTTTTGACGTCCTTGGCGCGCAGCGGCCAGGTTTCTGATCCATATTGTAGTATGGAGCGCACCGCAGAATTATAAACTCGACCGTTGACAGAGAAGCTGGTGTCGCGCCTACGCAACAGGTGACGTAGGTTCGCAAAAGCTGCTCTAGCCTTCCCAATCCGGATGGAAATATCATCTTTCGCCAGACCACCGGGACTGATACAGCTGCCCAGGTAAACAAATTTGTCTACTACCTCAATCGATTCATCCGCCAGCATGAAATTAGGTTTCGAGCCCACCCAGTCTTGCAGTAGCACTTTACACTTTGCAGGTGTGAAGCGCGTGCTTAACCGCGAGGCAGAATTATTTAGATTATTTAGTATTGTTTGCATTGCAACGGGGTCAGATCCCAGAAGAGCTATGTCGTCTGCGTACTCGATGTCTGTGAGCGGAGGCCCAGGGAGCACTTCGACCCCACAGGCATTAGAGGCTGGTAGTGAGTCTTCCATGGTCGTATCAATGACGAAGTTGAAGAGGAAAGGTGGAAGAGGATAGCTATGTCGGACACCATTGATGTGGTGGACTCAGGAGAGAGCTTCCCGTAGACTTTTACACTGCCGCGAGAGTTGGGGTACAGCGCCATAATGAGGGTCAAGAATTTATGGGGACATTTTTGCTCCACAGACACTGCCATAGTGCTTGGCGGTCAACAGATTCGAAGGCAGCTTTCAGGTCAAGAAACACAACCATTGTTGGTTGCTGGAAGCAGTGTCGCTGTTCCATAATCTGTCGGACGGTGAAGATATGATCGATGCAACCTCTTGCAGGACGGATCTGCTTCCTTCTGTGTTCAGTCAACCTTCGAAGGATAAAGCCAGATAGCACCTTCGATGCCACAGCTAACAGGCTGATGCCACAGTGGTTTTCGCATAGCGTTCGTTCGTGCTTTTTGAAGATAGGGATAACTGTCGACATGCCCCATTCTGCAGACACTTTCTCTTCGTCCCATATAGCACCAATAAGCTTTGCCAAGTGGGTCAACAGGGATTTTCCGCCTTCTCTGAAGAGGGCTGGATACAGACCATTCGGTCCTGGTGCCTTCTCACGTTTCAGTACGGCTATTTCGTACCTTATTTCTTCTTCCGAAGGGCGATCAAGGTTTACATTCCATTCGCTCGTATGCATCATCTCCACAGGCTGTGTGGAGGCCAGCTGAACTGCTCTTCGAAGTGTTCGGCCAGTCAACGTTTTTGTGAGTGAATTAATGTGCCCTCTTTTTCACTTATCGTTTCGCTGACCGTTGCTTTCCTAGGGCCAGTCGATCGTATCAGTTTATATAGGGCACGGCTGTTTCCCGTAGCAAAACCCTTCTCCATCTCCGGAGCTTTCGATGCCCACCAGAGCTCTCGGTCTTTCCTTAGACTCTTCACTATTTGGCGTTTGAGGGATTTGCGTGCGCCGTCGTACTCATTGCCTGCTGGTATGACTTTCCTGGCATCCACCATGGATAACAACCTAGACGACACCTAGTAGTCTTGTGGTCGAATTGGAGAAGTCAGGCAAGCAGCACTGAACGCCGCTAGCATAGCTCCTTTCACATTTTGCCGCGCTTCACCCACATGCTCATTGCCACCATAGTATTGTTTTACTGTGGAGAGTTGTTGGGCTAGCTCAGATCGATACTGTTGAGCTATGGCGGTTCTTCGAAGCTGGTGGATTGGCATGCTTCTTGCCGTCCTGCGAGGGCCTGAAGGGAAACGAACTGTCAGGCGTGCGCGCACCATGGCGTGATCGGAATCAAGTGGTGTGTCCAGGAGGAACGGCAGTCTCGAATTGTGGCTCTCCACCGGTGGCTGATGGCCACGTGTTCCAACTGGGTCCACGGTTGATTTGTAGTTGGCGGCCGCCAGGTTACGCGGTGCGAACGTTTATGTTGAAAGTTCGTACTTGCCAGAAACAGTTCGTGATCAGCACACAGCTGAAGGAGTCGATCTCCGTTGTCTGTGCGGCGAGCATCGACTCCGAATCGACCACCCAAATGTGATTCCGAGGAGCTCAGACGACCTACTTGAGCATTCAAATCGCCTGCAAGGATCACAATGTCAGTGCTTTTTGCCTGACGAATGAGCCCGGATAGCTATCGATAGAAATTATGCTTCTCCGCATCAGAACTGCAGTCCGTTAGGGCATAAGCTGACACGACAAACAGGCACCGCTTTTTACGCCGAGGCATTGAGCTTGATTGAACTGCATAACCGGACGGCGCAGAGATGACTGATGTGAAAGAGCTGAGTTCATCCTTGGCGTTCTGAGATGCAGAACCACGGTCGGGTCTTGTATGCGTGTTTCGGAGACACAGCATACATCGATTTTAAGGGAGTACAAGGTTTCAGCAAGCATTGCCTGTTTGCCAATTTGACGTAGAGTATGAACGTTAAAAGCTCCTATATAGAAAGGATCTCGTGGATTTAGGAAAGCGTTATTTTGCTTAAGGTTTGTAGGCAGCGTGGAGCATAAGGCCTTTCGGTCAGATGACTGACAGTCAAATGGCCCAGCGACATTTGCTTGTGCAGTGGGAAGGGGTTGGGGAGGGACATCGGTGGACGCTGAACTGCGCGGGCGAATGATACTTCCCGGTTGCCCAGGTCGAGGGAGTGGGTTTGGTTGAGGTACCCCACCTTGAGTCTTTGACTAAAAAGTCTGACCCACAAGGCAGTGGGATGACGTAGGGTTTTGTTCGGGGACCCTTCCCGGAGCCGATGACTCAACAGTCTGACCTGCTCGGCTGCAGGGGGTTGGCCTAACCCGAGGGCGCAGGGAATAAGGCATTACCGTCTCATTCCTGATGCGGCTGCACACAGCAGGTGCGTTTTGAGCAGCACCGGACTCTTTGGCTTCAAAAGTATTTCAACCGTACTGGATAATGCGCCGGCGGTCACGGTCAACCGTTGGGCGATCGGAGTGTGCGGTTTTTGCGGCCGACCTTTTCTAACCCGTCCTTCCTCGGGAGAAGGCAGCATCGCTGCTTCAATAAATATGAACATACTGATCGCCTGGTGTAAACACCTTACTGCCTTCACACTCATGTCACAGAGGACAGTACGACTTTACCTCCAGACCGCCTCGTCGCACGAATACTCGTAGTGCGGGGTCTCGCTGCTCTTAGTCTGGCTGCTCCCCTTTGGCCTTCGTGGCATGGTTGCACCTTGTGGAACGAAGTTCCAGCCAGTGTAGCCCGCGGGATCATTGCAGCCCTCAAGCCCGAGCACCACGTCAAGGTGGCAGCTTTAGGTCGGGTGTGTAGACCTTAATCCAGGCCGATTGGAGCAAATTGAGCACCTCTAGAAAGCCGGTGAATGTATGTTAACAGAAATAAACCAGTGAAAGCGGTTGAGGCTCGTTCTACGGTCCATTTCTGAGCTTGAGATAACTCACCGGTAAGGCTGCAAAACTGGTGGTAGAACGGCTCGCGGTTCGGACGTAAGTCTGGCTTTCCAGTCACTTCTGTCTAGGCTTAGAAAGACCGGTGGTAACTCAGTCCTCGTGCTGAGCACCGAAAGGGTGCCGCAGACCTCAAAATAT